AATGGAATATCAAGATTATAACAAAAGAAAGGACAACACTCTTCACCAGCCTATCGACACAACACGAGAAGGTTGACAAATTGAATTGCTTGGGAGTCTATAGCATCAAATGCGGCAACTGTGAGCGAAAGTATATTGGTGAAACAGGAAGAAAAACTAGCCCACAAATCAAGGAACACCAAAGACTCTGCAGAAACATGGACACTGAAAGATCTGGAATAGCGGAACACATTGCACTGACGGAACATGAAATCGAGTAGAAATCGACAGAAAGACTGGCTGCAAATGGTGGAAATAATAAAAAACGCAAGATACCAGAAGCCATTGATATCCTGACTGAAATAAACCGAATGAACAGGAGAATTTAAGGAGGCAGGATTAGCGAAATCTTTGCATATTGCCTAAAAAACTCTGAGATCAGGGAACAGCAACATCATCAAAAAGAAGACGACTGGACAAAGATAATATTTTTAATTTTATTACAAGAAAATACATGAATATCAGATAGGAACATTCAAAAAAACAAAAGGAGATGTCTACAGTGGACCTATTCAAATCAAGTAGAACTATCACATTTGGGGGTTGGTATGCAATAAAATGCGAAGAAAAATTGGGTTTCGAGTAATCTCTTGTTTCACAATTGTTGAGCTTACTTCCATTTCTAGTGAAAGCGTTGGGTGAAGAGATTCGAAGGTCGGTTCCACCAGAAGACGACGACGGATTCCTCTTGACCTGCTGTCCATTGGCTTTACTGGAAGATTCATGCTGACGCTGTTTCCGAAACAATCTCCTTTGATTCCGGTGAAAGAAATCTTGACTCGTTAGCTTGAATTTTGTTGTGACGATGTTACCTCCATCTGATGATGTCCGCCACATGCTGGACAAAAGCTTTACACCTTTTCAACAGAATCGAAGGAGATTGCCTCGGAAACAGCGTCAGCATGAATCTTCCAGTAAAACAAATCGACAGCTGGCCGTCGTTTTCTGGTAGAACCGACCTTGGAATCTCTTCACCCAACACTTTCACTCGAAATGGAAGTAAGCTCAAAAATGCAATAGAATGTCATGGAATAGCGAGATAAATGGTAGTGGCAATTTTTAGTTGGCTATTAGTATCCAAACTGTATTTATATACGAAAATATTAGTAGATTAATTTGCTCATAGACGTGGTCTATGAAATAAAGGCTTGACTCAGAGATTTATTCAGCGCACATGCCGCACAGCGATGAGGGAATCGGCGGCGTCAAGTTAGGTTGCCATGCCAAATGAGAATCCAGACTTTAGGGGCTTGCTTAGTGAGGCTGGTGTATACATGCTATCAAAGGCTTGAAGCAAGGTGTAGAACAACACCCTGAATAGCACGGATACGGTAGCAGCGGTGGTGTGAGATCAACGAAACAGGCAGATCAGGAAAGGATTCTACGGACCAAGAGGGAACTCTGATAAGACCCGAAGAGAGAGGATTGTGGATTAAACCCCAACCTTGGATCAACAATCCCGGCACAGTGGGAGAGATGAGGAAACCAGCGGGCAATGTGAATAGATTTCAAATAGCTCCAGATAAACAAGTAAGAAATTGTGATATTGAAGGAGTGATACGACGATATAAGAGAGGTGAATAGGCCAGGACAGAAGGAGAGATACCACAACTGTTTAGCAGACAATTGGTTAAAGGATCGGCTTCATTTGTCCCTTTGACGAGTTGTAGTGTGGTGCTGAGACTGGCAAGGATCACTAACGATGCCGGCGAAACTTCTGGGAGTATATCACGTTCACGGTGCGACTCTGGAAATTATCATGCATACTATGGATTCCGGATAAGGGGAGTCAATATGACCAAGTTGCGAAAACAAGGTCAAACAACTTTTACACAACGAATGGAGACCGCAGCCATACAAAATGCTGGTCTTCATATCTTCGAAATCTGCTTTACTTCGTCCCAGTGACGCAATCTGACGTCCTGTCAAATCGTGTAGCCTTAACGCGTGACGCTTAAGTGTACCCTCAATTCATTAGTTAGCACTCGAACTACATCCTCACCAGCCCAGCATCGCGATCATCAGCTTCCAGATGTGTGCCGAGCAATTTCATTGCACTTCGTTTTGATTATGGTTTTGAGACTATCAGTAGATCTTGAACAAGAGATCTAGCCACCTTAGGCCTGCTAGTGAATTATTCCATTGCCTCACTTCTTGACTCTTCATACCCAGCCTCAAAATATGTGGGCACGGGGCATATTGTATGGTGTTCTAACCACGCACACTGACAGAGGGGCCTGAGCGTGATAGCAGTAGAGTTCTGCTGTCATCAAGCAGAACACTTCCATTCAAGTGGTTTAAGAATCGGCCGACAGGAGACATTCAAGAGACAGCATAATCACCACAAGCATGCTAGACTTATCTAGACCGTCAGATGATCTCGCATGAAAATAAAGTCTACAAGTCATGGATTGTATAAAGCTAATGGGAATTTACAAACCATGTCATCAGTGTTGCATTTTGAAGTGTAGTATCAGCAAAAGATGCATCCTACATGGCTCACCCTGAGACTATGAGTAAGCCTCCCCTCACCCCTCTACAATGTAGGCTTGTATGAAGTGCATCCAGGATTCGGCCATTCCCTTGCTGGTTCAAGCGGATCTTATGTTGATGAAAGTCTTTCCACCGAAATCGGCTTATCTTGCGTCAGCACAACTGCATTCATCACTTGTCTACCAGTTGCACACTCGCACATACCCTCAAGATCGCGCTCCCTCTGTGAAAATCGCATAATCACTACTCGACATGACGCTTTAGTCTTTTCATCCCTCGCACGTGACCCAGTTGGGCGGCAAGCTGAAAGAAGGCCTTGGGTTCATGTATGTATGCGTATATATATATATATATATGTGTGTGTGTGTGTGTGGACGAGTTGAGGCTGGCTTCAGTATTCGGCGTCACTGGCAGTTACGTCGGTCCCCACTCCTCGCATGATGACAAACAATCTAATCTATCCCTCCTTTTCGTGATCCAGAGACCCTCTGCCAATCAGAATGTTCTGCTATGATCGAGCCTAGAGTATAAAAGGGTTAACTAGCCAAAATCAACTTTCACTCATAGCTCCTTTCCTCGGATCTCTTTCACTCCCTCTGCCCTTTATGAATATTCTTCACCGCGGCCTCTCATCATCTCGCGGACAAACCTAAACGGTCCTCCTTTTGCAATCTGAGCCCTTAGTAAAGCATTCGAGCAAGTTCTACTAAAACGGTGTCATGAAATTTTGGAAATGTCATTTGAAACCTTTCTAACGACGAGTTACCATCACCGCAATCACACTTGGTGCCAGGCAAGGATCTACAAGACAGAGCTCAGCTCTGAGATGTGGTTTTCTCCAACGGCATGACGATTTGCGCCAAAGCGTACCACTTTAAGGGTCTCATAATCGAGTATCCTACCCTCTCTCTCTCTCTCGCCTAGCAGGTATGGATACTTTACAAAAGGGTGATGAGTTGAGACACCCACCAGCCTGAAGCGAGTGAGCTCTTGGCGTAACGGCTGCTGACACAAGTCCAAGTTGTCATGCATGCATGGAATTCATTCAAGCTGGACGGAATGACACATAATCTGGGATTGTTGTGCAGACAACATGCTGCCTCAGATGCACTCATGACAACAGATGGCTCGGCCGTGACAGCAGCCCGACGGACGGATATTTCACTCGCCCCGGTAGGCGGATGGATTCAGAATTGGGGACTACGGAGCCAGGCTCAATTGTGTCGATCTCAGTGTCGTCGTGACATTATTCGCCTCCATTCGGCATGCGATTGTCATACTGCCACCTGCTGCTCGCGATACTACTGGTCCGGCAAGGGAATGGCTGAAAAGAGGGGCTCATCAGAGGTCAGCCCCGGGAAACAAGGTAGGAGAAATCGTTGTGTCTAAGAGTTATACTTTGCAAGACGATCAGATTCAGATGAGCCTCAAAATGTTGCACATTATCGCACAGTTATTCTGACGTATCTCATCCCTTAGGCGAGTAGTACTATTGTCCTGAGAGCGAGAGACGAAATGGGAGACGAAAAAATTCATATTAAGTAGCTATCGAAACTATAAATCCATCATGAATAAGAGTTACAGTCACCCTTATTTGGATAAGGTGATGAAATATGTGTAGACCTCAAGGCCGAATAAGCAAACAGGTATTTAAAGTTGTTTGACGTTGATTTCGCAACTTGGTCGTATTGGTAGGAAGACCTAGAGCGACTCACCTAGTCTGGAGTCCATTGTATGTTACTCGTCAAAGCAACAAGTGAAGCCGATCCTTTGACCAATTGTTTGCTAAGCAATTGTAGTACCTCTCCTTCTGCCTTGGGCTATTCATCAATCCTATCTCCTCGTATCACACATTCACTATTACAATTCCTTATTTAAATGTGATCTAAGATTGTTTTGAAGATGTGAAGACCAAGATGTTGTGGCCTCGGGTATGGTCGCAGTCTCCTTTCGACTTATAAAAGTG